TATTAGGACGACGATTATTTTTTTATAAGGCACACATCACGGGAAACGTTCTGGCAAAAAATAAAACTACTCTATATAGTAAAGATGGAAATATGCAACCGGTACGCCCGTACCTACCGTGTGTTATGCGTTTTTTTTTATTGTTATTATATCACCCGACGATGGTATCAGTCGATCCGAATTGTTTGTAACAATTAAGGAACCGCAGTTTCAAATAAAATAAGAACATAAATAATAACGACGAAACAAGTATAAAAAAAAACAATCCCGATGCTTATACCGGGCCGTTCTGGTGGCCTACCAGAGATTGCGGGTTACTTGCTGAGCTACTCAATTTGTTTCGCTACACAGAGCAGCGGTGCTAAGGTCGTACGCGTTAAATTTAATTTCTAGCATTACATATAATATGGTAATAATATATTACAGATATTATTTACACATATAAAGATATGTGGAAATCGATTGGTGCACGCTCGTGAAACGCGTTTTGCAAACTCGCATAATATTGCATTAAATAAAATTAAAATACCTATATATGTATAAATACAGCAATATATACATAAAAACAACAAAAAACTAGCTTTATACCCCGAATGACCCAGTAGCTTGCACACTGTACAGTAATAATAGCGGTTTATAAACAAACGAGATTATCGGCCAAAATAGAACAACGCTTAACGGCCCCTAATCATAAATTCAAATCGGATGCATAATTGACAATAACCGATACATTTTTGGCCAACTGTGATTTTATTTTAACGGCACCACCGTAGAAAACTCGGTCTCTGGCAAGGCGATCATCAGTGCGGTTAATTGTTTTTTTTAATGTCCACGTAACCGCACAATGATACCGAAATATTAATGAAAATCCAACCGCTTCCTCGAATGATAAAAATGCTTACAGCTGGAAACCCATTAAAACATTTGAAAAGTGCATTATCATTCAAGTAGTAGTAGATGGACTACTACCACGCTCGCTTTGCAATACCTACTTTTTATGTTCATAATATATTGTGGTCAATATAAAACGAGTTATAACATCAGTAAGTACTTCGAGTCCTTTAGACAATTAAATACCTAATATGGACTTAAACGGAATTGAATGATCGTTCATTTAAGAGCTCACTCTTTTAACTTTTAACGAACTTTTTAACATGAAATGATCTACGATTGTGAAGTAATAATACATGTATGTATTTTGTACGATCTCTTTGAATTGAAGCCAAAACGAATTTCCGATAATTAACTTTTCGCTACTTTAGGGCTTTTGTTCGATTGAGTAAAACATTTCTTTACGAAAAATATCATTTAAAGCCATTATCTATCCTCGCAAAGCACTTGTTTCAAACATTTTTAAACTAATCGTACAACACATTATCACGATAAAAAGGGACCGGTTATTGTCAGCCTGACCCGTCGTTGCAACCCAACCAAACCCAGCTTTGGGTGTGACATTCGCACTTTCACAAAAATGTACATACAGCTTTTCAGTGCAAAGACAGGCGAAAATAATGTATATTATAGTATGGATAGGAAATCGCTTTCTCTCAGTTGATATACAAGAACGCGCCATTTTGTACAAAAAATAATTCACAAAATATAATAACACTGCACTGATGATGGTTACGTCACTTGACCAATATGTACAGAAAGTCTGGCGGATGAAACTTGAAATTAAAAACAAATTCCAAAGAATCGACAATAACCGCAAATGAGTTTTCGCTAATCAAATTGTGTGACAACAACCCATGTGGTGTGCGGCAACAGACAATTATTATGGGTAATTTATACAATACAGCTAAGATGGTGGTTTAAGTCTAGTGTTGTTTTTTCGCTTGCAAATGATCTACCGAGACGAATGCGTAACGGCTGGTTTTTTTTACAGTTGACCGGCGGCGGTGACTATCGTTTTTAACCGGAATCTTTATTAATTGTCATAATGCGCGTTAAAAACATAATAATAGAAAAAACCGGAAATTTCTACAGAGCCAGAGCACTAAAGTAAAACCCTAGCCAAGAAGAAAATCGCTAAAAGAAAAAAAATTCGAAATCGTGAGAACCGAAGCGTCAATTAGTTATTTTATGATTTTAGAAAAAAAAATAGAAAAGACATTATGTTTTCGTATTATTATAGCTTGAGTATTGTTATGATACTATTCGGTTTTAATACTGTTGTGTTTATCCATAAAAAAAATACGAGCGGTTCTTTTGCAATGACCGTACTCTTAGCTATAAATTTCAAAATACCATTATTATGTCTGTTTTTCAGTGGTTTTAACCACTTGTTTTAAGTTCAAATGTTACCAAAGGCGTTTCAGCGAATTTCCCATCTCCCGATGTGCTTATAAAACAGATAATATATTATAATGTTATTTATTACATTTGTGAATAAACGATTTTTACTAAATAAGGAAATGTCCGTCATCGATTACAAGAAGTTCGACAACATTCCGCTTAACCTACATATATACGCTTGATGGTCCATTAAACCTATCGCAAACCGCATAAACCCAAATTACTTATACTACTACGCATAATATTTTCTACTATAGTGTAATAGGTTGGTAGTAATTGACAACCAACAGATATTATAACATTATAATATGTTAACATTATCACCATATATTAAATATTATGTGTGTGATATAATAGGTAACATTACATTTTAGGGATGCTAACAACTGTTGTAAACCACAATGGAAAAAAATATTGATGTTATGAGAATTAAATGGGTACGAATAACATATTTTCGAAAAACAAGTTTTAATATTATCAACGAAACTTATTCCTATATGCGTTTATTTAATCATTTTTCATACATTATTGAAAAATATATAGAAAAAAAACTATCGAAACATTATATATAAAAATACAATAAACAATTTTTATTTATTTTTCTCTCCTGTAAAATTGTAATCACTACGATAATACTCACCGACCCTTTTAACTGTCACTATTTCAAGAATTATAACTTTAATGCAAAATTAAATTGGTTTTCATTGTATATTTGCACTCTATTCCTACTAAACTATAGAGTAGGGCCAAATTAAGTAATTGTAAGCAAATTAAGTAAATGTAAATAAAATGCCTTGTAACAGTGTTTCGGTTAGCCGTGTTTCAAAGGTTAAACTGATCATGTCAACAAATTTATTTCAACATAATTACTACTATACAAAATCGAATTGTACGATAAACATAATATTATTGCAATTATTTTTGTCTGCTGTCCCAAAGGCTATTAGTAATTGTTTGGGAGGCTGTCTGCGATCAACGCTTTGCAAACATAAAAACAACAACCAATTGGTTTCGCCTCGTTATATTACATTTCAATGTTTCTGCTACGTGATACGGCGACTATTTCAGAATAACGTTACACATTATAGTACTACCTAGCCGAGAAAATTAAAAACCCAGTACAGAATCTCCAACACACTTATTAAACATTTTACCTTTTTCGCTTAGACGGACGTTAATAAACGTTTTAAGTACCGGTTTTTTTAATTTTAAGAGGTCAATATAATTAACTTCTTAACCATGACAAGACGACCATAATTATTGATGTGTTTTCGCTTGGTTATAAGTTCAAAGATAATGTGTTTTAAAAAATTAATATTAAGGTCGGCGTTGGAAAACTAAAAATTGAATAACCTCCTTAAAAAGCGTCAAAATACACACGGAAAACGTGACCAGTTTCAATTTTATTCGTAAAATGATTAATGTAAACATAATGCTTAACCTCGGGCAAAGGACAACCAACATAATTATTAGTAAAAATATAAAAATTAAATGAAGAACGTTTTAACCGTTGTCATACCAATGAGGAAAACGATATATTATAGGGTAAACCTATAGCCCAGAATAACCGATAATGTAGTTTATCTACGCCTATCGAAAAATGCCAACATAAACTTCATTTTTCAATCATAATCAATTAATTGGAAAACAAAAATTATAATATAACCACGTGTACCGTGTACAATGCACTATGACCACATTCAATACTATCAAAGGCGGAAAAAATGTTCCATAGATATGATTTTTGAACAACGGTGTACGTTATTACCCTGGCTTAATCTCAGAAAATAGCAAAAAAGTAGTAGCGCGATAAAAACATTTTAAGCCCGGGTTGGCAACTTTTTTTATTTTTAACAATTTATTAAAAAAGTAGCAAAAAGAAAAAACAGTACACGCTCATTATTTTAAATACAACAATTTTTCTGGGAAATTGAGCTGTTTTAACGGCATTTAGCCAAATCTGGGCGTTTTTTTAAAAATAAATAACAATTAATTAATGATTTACTGTTTTAAATAATATTTCATTTAAATATATTTTAATTTGAATGTTTCAAATAACCTGTTATTTTAAATCATTTATTCATTAAAAATGTATTTGATTGTATTCTTTAGATATTTGTTTAAATAAAAATATAGTTGTATTTAATATTTGAATTTGTATTTAAGTGCATTTTTTATTTTAAATAATACATAGAATTTTTTTCAGAAAATGTCCAGATTCGTATTTACCTATTAATAAAAAAATAAAAAGTGTATCTACATGTTTACAACATCTAATCTTTAGATTCGATTTTACACTATTCTATAGCTTGTAAATATAGGGAGTAATTATGTAGAAAAACTTGACATTTAAGAAGACGCCGCTCTAAACGGGTAGTTTGATCTCATAGACTCCTCTGGCAAAAGTTCCAATATGTTAGTTTAGCCATTTTAGACCGAAGGCACAAATATATGCAACATACATTATGAATGCAACCTAATCGTCTGTTTAGGCCAAAACATAAGAATGGTCATTTGCAAACATGAAATCGGCAAATAAATAATATGTGTTCCGACTCATAACAAAGACAAAAATGTATTGTAATATTGTTGGTTAGTTAGCAAGTAAAAAAGGTTATTTTTCAGATTCCTATTAGGTAAAGAGATGTCGGCTGGAAAACTGTAAATATCCTATTTAAGTAGTATTTTTGAAACCGAGACAGTACCTCAGGTCCTCCGGCAGCTGCGGGGTCCACCGGTTTTCTGGGCGGCGGCGGACGATTGTTCTTTTGGACGGCGTTCAGCCAAGCTTTGACGCGTCTGTTGTTGCTGGCGTTCCGCCTGTACGTCAACCGGCCACCGCCGCCGTCCTGCTGTTGGCCACCGGCGTCTACGGCGGACGACCGCTCATCGTCGCACAATATCGTGGACCACGGCGACGGCGGGCCGGCGGCCGTCGGGGGCGGCGGTAGCGCGTACAACATCATTGCAAAACCAACAAAATCCGCGAAAAAAAAAAAACAAATACAAAAGCCGAAAACAAAAATTAACACTGCGGGCGCAGACGGATTTTAGCGCGTATCATAGTGCCGGTGTAGTTGTAAACGGACCGCTTAAAATTGAACTATCGTTGTACAAATAAATAATAATATTAGCGGTTTTTTAACAACACTAATAACGAAATTATCATACAAGCGCGGATCACGGACTCGTGCCGATAGCGAACTGGTAACGGAGAACAGACACAACAACTCCAAGCTGCCCAAGTCACACGGACGAGACGACTGAGGTGGCCACGCCGCGAGACCGCATGATCACCGACGGCGGCAGTCGCGTCCTCCACTATCGATTTTGCCGTCATCCAACTCCAAAACTATCGATAGTTAAACGATTTTCCATAGGTATTATGATAATTATATTGTTGTATTTTTCCTTTGTCGTTTTATATACGTTTTAATAGGGCGACAACTATTATAAATTATAATAATGATAATAATATAACTATTATATATTTTCACTTTTTTTTCATTATTTTGTTTTTTTTTTTGTAATAATATATAAGAGACGGTTTGGTAGCTGTCGCCATCCGACCGACGGGGCCTACACGTTAAAGCATACCGAATCGATAGTGTGTTTTATTCTACATAGTATAATACATATTTTTTGTATGTAATTATTGTATTCATAATGACAGACAAAATAAAAATCCAGTTGGAACAGAAGGGTTTTTTAAAAATAAAATAATAAATAATATCCTTCGCGTCACGACAGTTACAAGAGAAAAATTAAAAGAAAACGTTCATTTCTACGTTTTCTATTTTTTTTTTGTCTATGCGAAATCGTGTCGAAGCGATAGGTATATATAGATAGATAATAGGTAGATGCAAATGGATACGATTTTTGTTTGGTTTTTGGAAAATACAAAGTACGTACAGAGTTATTTAGTTACCTAATAATATGAATTCTATTAATGAATATTAATATTAACGATTAATAGAAAGTGCCTATAAAAAAAAATATAAACAGGTAAAAAGATACGTATGCTTTGAAATTCGATGGACAAAGCATTTGCCGTTTTGCATAATTTATGTAGAAACGTGGACGCACGATTGGATTGATTTAATAATAAAATCTTTAAATTCGAAGAGACCAGGTTGTTGATACTTAAAATAAATAACGAATTCCAACCCAGATAATTATCTTAGCAGGACGAAAATAAACTCTTCTCTCGCCTTTCTTTGAAGTTTGCGTACAAGCTCCAAATTTGATACAAACACGATTTCACGATTTCGTTATAAAATATCGGTTGTTGGATTTAATTATTTTTTGTGTTGAAAAATAACCGCGCCAGAGGGGAAGGAGTGCATTTTCAAAATCTTAAACAACTTAACAGGACGACGACATTTTTTCCTATTAATAAAATGTAAAGAACGAGTTCGTTGTCCCCTTCCCCACTACAAACCTTCCACTTTATCACATTAAATTAATTGAAAACGGTGTCAACAATTTAAACAGAGGGTAAATCACTATTAGGAATTTTCTACATCAGATTACTAGAAATATCTCGTGTCTAAATTTAAAAATGTATTTTCAACTTAGAGTTCTTTAAGGTTGAAGTACAACCATTGAATTTATAATATAGTAGTATTCTAAAATCAATGGTACAAACCAAGTAATACTAGATCGGCGTGTTATAATTAATTCAGTATTGTGACCGATTCAATTATTATACAAATAATAATAATTTAAAGAGATATTTCACCAATTAAAATCCGTCGTAAAATATTGCGTTTTAGTCATAAATAAATTCACATAAAACGGCTAAATACAAAGAAAGACAATTGTTATAGGCACATTTTTTTTGTGTAATGAAACACTCGTTCAAATTTTTAGTTTAGTAAAAGTAAAATACACATAGTTAGATCAAAAACGTTTGATAAAATAACGTGAATTATATAATATTTTTGAGCAACAAGGTCGAACAACGGTAATGATGAATGCATTTGTTTGAAATGGAAATTTATCCAAAATCAAAGTCTACTCTTTATGTGTATTAATTCCGGTTAATGGTGATAAAACAACTAATTGTGGAACTGTTAATGAAATAAAATTAATAATTATGTAAATAATAATAACACAGCATGGTTAATTATTGATAAACAAACTTAAATAGATCTTGGATAATAATTTTGTAATAAATAATCATAGTTTGATGATATCACATGAGATGGATAAAACTTCTGCTCAGAATTTGCCCATTTAATACCTATCTAAATTGATTAACGAATTTTGTTCTTGATATAATATACTATAGATTGGTAATCCCTCCTATAAGCAATAATATTATAATCTATAATTATAGATTGATTTCGTGTTCAGTATTTATTTTTCAATAACCAAGTAAAATTAAATTGAAAAGGGAAAAAATCCATTATTCACAAATATTGAGAATCTTAAACAACTTTTGTTTTTAATTAGTTTAAACAGTTTCTCGTGAGAAATATAAACTGACATCTTGAAAAAAGATGTTCTCCGTTACATTGAAATTCGGTAACTAAACTCTATCTATTTTTAATGTGTCCTGATAAAGTTATGGGCATAATTCACATTTTACTTAAAACATTTGTTTCGGAAAAAATAATTCCGCCAAATAATTTTTGTTAATAATAACTTAACCTGACTTATTTTTTTTTTTTAATGTGTAAAATGACTGATTCATAAAAACAATAATTTTAGAATTTTTTTTTTTAAGTTAATAAGTAAAATTTGCCTGGAACTATACCCGGATTTCAGTTTTTTAAGAAGTTTAGTTTTGAATTATACCTTAAATAAAGTCCGTCTATCAATTATTTCAACGTCAGATTTATATTATTTTAACAACAGTTTTTGACGGTCGAACTAGAATAATTCACCGTTTAAAATCAAATAATTACATTAGCTACTAGCTAGTAAGAATTAGTGCACCGTTCATTCAAAACAATAAGCACATAATAAAAATAACAATAAAATAATACATAAATTATCTAGGTTGATGTAATATTTTATCCATATTGCAGTTAATATTGTAATAGAGAAAACCAACAGTGAACTTTACCTAATTAGTAAAACAAACAACTCTATTGCTCTGGTTTATAAAACAAATCCATCGGACCAGAACGTAAATAATTAATTAACACAAGGTATTATATGCATAACCTATATTGTTACCTAATATAAACAAAAGTACAAACAGCTTACTGTTTTTGATTTTTTCACCGCCATAATGTTTCCAAAACACTTACACGCGATTGAAAAAGGTTAACATATTTATACGAATAAACATATTACACTAATAACTATAGCAAAACAAAAAAATATACTATATGAGGTACCTACAGTAGAATCGTAAAATCTGTTTGTACATTGTACTCCTGTGATTAAATATTGTTTTTATTAAACAAACTAAAATAACACCAGGCATGTTCTACCAATATATTATATTAACGTTACTAGTGTGCTAAAACACATTGTACAAAAATGTAAACAACCTATTGATCTAAAACAAATGTATAATGCGATATTCGGTAATTTTTCAAATGTATAATAATTAAAAAACAGAAATTACATTAAAAATTTTTTTAATTTTTTTCAGTAAATTTTATATTTCTCTAAAATACTAATAATGGTTAATAAAACTTAGTTATAAATTGTTAACAGCCGACATTGTGATTAAGAGTGGCAATAATATATTGTTAAATGTTAATAATAACTTTGCAAAGTTCTAATATAATTCTGATTTTTTTTTGTTCAAGCCATTCAATTGTTCGAAATAAATACACGTCAAATGTATTTAATCAACACACGGTACAGTACTTCTTTAGTAAAGATCAAATATATTTCTGGAAAGAGCGATGCCAAAGTGTTAGAATACAACTTAGGCGAAATCGCAAAAGTAACGATTGTTGATATTTTGATAAATTTAGTCCGACCTCATCAAAAGAATTAACGTCATTGCTTGGAAGTCTTTTGATCGTTTAGAAAGATCACTAAATTATTGAATGAGGTCTTCTGTGAAACCTATACTAAATAATGGGTGACTGGAGAAAAATATGTGACAATCTTTAAATCCTAATTACAAGATATCGACTTTCGACCGCTCGAGGGTAGGAACAATGCACGTACGACTAATACAACGCTCGGCTATAAGCCAAATACGCTTCAACGGCAAGTGTATTAGCACACGAGCTGCATTGTGTCTAGAAAATGTTTGAAAGAGATGCTTTTAAAGTAAACCAAAACAACAAGAATATCATGGTCGGACACCGTTTCTGTTACCTACGCTATTACATGTTCTTTGGCCATACAAACGTGCTCACCGAGTAGCATACACAAGTGGCTCGGTTGGTTGGTATCCATCAAAAAAATGTACTTACAGAATTCTGAGGCGAAGTCCCAATTGTCGGAGACGTCTGGACAGCGGCCAAAGCCATGCACACCCGTCGTTGTTACCGTTTGGCTGGACAACGTCGGCGCAGGCCGCGGACACACGGTAATCGAACGAACGACACCACGCCGGGACGAATAATTGTTTCCGTGTGAAAATTTCAACCGAAAAACAAAACGAAAACGACCAACGGAAAAATATTGTCAGTGTTCGTAAAACGAATAATATTATTATAATATATTTGTTATAAAAATGTTACCAAATTTGTAATCAGGAAAACATGAGCGAAAAACATACAACGAAGCTGATAAAAACCACAATAGAGATGATCGCTACCGCGGTAACGGTAACCGACATACCGGAGAACAGCGGCCGCCGACAATGGTCTTTGCCGCCACGCGGTGTATGACAGGTTGCCTATGTGTACCATGTCGGGAGCGACCAGTGTAAACGAGCAAAGTACACAAATAATTAAACATTACACTGAATGTATTCGAATACGCTCAATTATTTGGTATTGAAATCGGATATTCGAATTTAAAGATTGACATTTACGGTTGTTACGAAATTCTGTGACTCTATAATTAACTATTTTATTAAAGTGTACGCTAATCGCCCGTTCGTAAAGGAAAATAAAATATAGGCCATTCTGGCAGAATCTCAATTTAAAATTTGCCCCTGGATACCGACCATTTTTAAGGAGTTTTGTATGGGCAATATTTAAGAAAAAGGTGGTTTTATTAAATTTCGACCATGTTAATTAATTTACCGGTTAATTTGTATGAGCTTCGTGGTATTATTTTTAATTTAAATAATTTTGTCTATGAGTAAAAGCCATTTTAGTTAATATAATAGTACATTTTTTGTCCATCGCACAGGCTGAACCGGTAATCCAATGAGTAATCTGAAAACAGATTACTCTTTTTACAACACTAACATTGCACCAGCTAGTCTCTCAATTTTGTTACAGCACAAGTATTTTGTAATACCAAAATGCCTTTAACTCATAGAAAATAATTCCCTAAAGCTTATACAAATTAACATGGTCGAAACTTATTGGAATTTGGAACCACTTTTTTTTTTAAATATTGCGTTTATAAAACTATTTATTACTTGATAGTTTTTACCAGTGGCAATGTGTACACGTACCAATTGTGCATTATGTCTTTAAAAGTTCGTGCTCTAGCCACTAAGTTTCGGAATTACCCGACCACATTTTTAAAACTTCTGTGCCACTGGTGATTACCATATAGTTGCACAGGTTAATTTGAAAGTGATTTTATCTGAAGATGTATGACCTGCCTAATCCCCACATGTTAGCATTTTATTCTTTTCTATTTCAAAATTATAATACATTTTCAAACAAAGGACTAGCATAGGATATTGTGTTGCAATTTTACAATTAATAAAAACAAAATAATTAGTTTAATTTTACAATCTTGGGGATTTTTATTAAAACTTTAAACATTTTTTTTTTTTAATTACAAATAAAAAAATCTTAAAAGCGAATAATCTATATTAACATCTCGAATATCAATAATTACATACTATAAGTGAAATAAATGTTTACTACAATTTACAAGGAATCACAAAATAGTTGAATTAGACCAAGACACTTTAATTCATTTAATATTATTATTAAAACAAGTAATAATAATAAACATGAGGAACACATACACAATGAATATCACCTACATCAACTGAAAAAACGGACATTTTTAAGCTTTAAAACAGCCTTGACTGATTTAGCTATCACAACATTTGTTTGAAGAGTTTCAAAGAGTATTTTGATGATAATTTTTTACAAAATTTAAAAAAAAAACAATATTTATTTGTATAAAATCAATTAAACATCATCATCCATTGAAAATTGTATTCTTTTTTTTAGTGCATACAAAATATATTAATTTTAACTTTTAAAAAAATTATAAAATATAAATTTAGACAATAAATATCACACGTTCAATAATAGTGACTTGAGTAAAATCAGATAAAAGCCCTTTGCAGTTACAAAAAAAAAACATTTGCAATTAATAGGTGCATAAATTGTTCTCATTTGTTAATATAAAATGTTGTTTTATTTAAAATATCAGTTAGATTTAACAAATACAACCCTTATTTTTCAGTTCCGGTACCTTTAATCTATATTTATTGCCATTTAAATTTCGGTTTAGATCAATCGACAACGGCCTTACAATTGCTTAGTGTTTTAACCCCACTTTACCGACCACCCGAAAAATAGTTGGACGAATACCACATTGATAATGTAAAATATTCAACTAAAATAATAATAACGTTCAATGCGTTTAAAATAATTTACTTATCGTTTAGAGCAGAGTCCAAATAATAAAATATATCCTTAAATTTGGGATAAAAGTACAACAAATTGGTGCATATTCCATAGAAAATATTAATCACAAAGTTAGAAGTTTGATATGTGTGTATATAATATAATAAATATAAATAAAATTGTACTAAATTAATTTTTCTATTAACAATTTTTGTAATTATAATAATAGTTTTTTTTTTTTCATAACTCAATTGAAATTTTTTTCCATATCAAACAATATTTTAATTTAAATCCAAATCCGGTTCTTAAAAACTAAAAATTCTAATGATAATAATAATAAATTATATATTTATTTCGTTCCCATTTCGACAAACCGCTTAGCGAAATGGTTGGAAATCAAATAAAAAATACTACAGGAATAAATGTATTAAGCAAACAAAAAACAAAGTGTCGAAAGGACTTAGAAAAACACAAAATCACTGCGAAAAGAAATATCATAAAATAGTAAATCACATTTCTTCGATTACACATAATAATAATAATAATAACAACTAATAGGACACACACGATAGCAATATAAAAAAAAGTACAGAATGGACGCGGTAGTTACATTGTTGGTTAAGTACAATAATCACATTTTTTTGTTTTTTACAATACAAATTATCATTGCAAATTTTTTTTCTCTATTTTCATCTTTCTTTTTGATAACATTAACTTTTTTTTATATCTTTTACCAAGTTTATCAAGAAATACAACAGTGAAAAAAAGGTAAATAAATATATTCTGTTTCCACGTTAACGAAAGTTAGTCAAAAAAGTTAAAAAAGTTTTGGTATGATACTTTTTTCATAGTAAATTCAAACTAAGCCGTTTACGGCAGCTTACTGAGAATTTACAAAAAATTTATGTATAAAAAGAAAAGACAAAAAAAAACATTTGAATTTGGAGCTCACAATAAATATTAAGGCACTTAATATAAAGTGCAAACAGATAATAAATAAAATATAATCAGACTAATAAAATAATTAAAAAAAGATTAAAAGATTGAAATTATTAAATCAGTCTCCACCAAAATATTAAAACATAATGGTCTGTAATGTCTGACCTTTTTTCTTTTTTTTGCTTTTTTATTTATTATTATAAGTACTTGTAATAGTAACATTATGTTATATATTATTAACTAAATTTTCTTTGAGTTTGAAGTATGATGAAAGTCGTTCTACTGCATATTCCTAAAAACAACAAATTTCCAATTAAAATAATACTAGTGTGTTATGTCATATACAAATAATTCACATAGTAGAGAGAAATTATGCCAACACGTATTAGGTGTAAAAACAAAACCAGGGAATTATTTATTAAAATAACTAAAAATGTTTTATTTTTATTTAAACAATAATCAAAATAATCAAATGTTTTTAGTTTAACAAAATTTAAAAAAAAATTTCAATTCAAATAATTAGTTATTTAAATAAATATTGAAATGATAGTTAAGAGTATAAATGTTATTTAATCAAATATATATTTGAATTTATCTACAAAAAAAATGCATATTGAAAGCAATATAACATTTTTTAATACATCAAACATAGGCATTATCGGTTTAGTTTTTTATTTAAATAAAAATTAAAACAAAAAGTTATTTAATTAAAGAAAAAACTATTTAAAAAAAAAATTTGTTAATACAATAAAATTATATTTTAATAAAATATTATTTTAAACATTAAGTTGTAAATATCAATTAATTATTGTTACTTATTTATCAAAAGATGCTCAAGTTCGTGTGAAGATGTTTGGTTTTTGCCGTTCAATTTCGTTTGTTGTAGTTTTATACAATTTAAAAAAAAAATACTAAACTGTATTATACATTATAGGTTTTTCAGACATGCTTAATAGGTTGCTTGTTTTCTGATTTCATGTACTTTAGTACAATACACAATGATTGTCACTAAAAAACTTTCCCTAGACCGCTTACTCTTAGTAAATAATGATTTGCTTGAAATGCTTTTAACATGAATTGAAAAAAATTGCAATTACCCTGTAGCCAAATGTAATTTTCGAGGTACGGCTGTTGACGACACTCCATATTCCCCAAAACAAATGTGATGCCAATGCGAAATGACGTACTTCGTTTAGAATCAATTCTAATGGTTCATCGCTTCCCATACACTGTAAGTACCTCTTGAGGAATTCGACCTGCGAAACCGTAAAATGAAGGAAAAAAAAGTATTTCAAACGGTTCTTCTCAATAGGTATTGTTTGAACATAGTTTAAACGTACCTGTTGGTCTTTTGTTGGGTACAATTCTCGGTTGACGGAATAATGTGGATACTTAGTGTTTGTGTAGTCGTAAATCCATTCGATAAAATGATTGGCGATATCGAAGCCGCGATAGTTATACGCACAGTATTCGTAATCGATTAGGCACAACGATCGACAAGCGGTTATGTCATTTTCCTTCATCAGGATATTACCCTCTTGCAAATCGTTGTGGCAAAACACGACAGGTGACCTTAACTTCGTCAGAAGTTTCCTGAAATCAGTTAATAACGTAAAGAAAAAAAAGTATGCACAGCGGGAATTCAACATATTCAGGACTGATTATAATTGAAAATGAAAACCACATTCAAATAAACACTGATGCAAAACTAAGAATGGTAAAAATGACCAAATATATAAACATTTTTTCTTATTATAAATGTTTTATTTTATTTTTTTTACTTTTTCTCAATAAAAATAGTTTGAATACAGATTCTTGAAATGAAAAAAAAAAATTAAATTTATTCACGCCACTTAAACTTTTTTAGTTGAAAATAATCTACAGAACATTTATAATCAAAGCTAACAACTGTTATATTTAAAATTACATACTTTAGCCAACGCATTTCATCTGAGAGGTTTATCGACAAAATCTGATCCAATTGGATGTTGTCCCTAGACCAATTGCAGTCGGTAACTGGCTGCTGCAGCCACCTCTCCATTGTGTCCCACAACCACGTTGAGTCTTTGTTGATCGGAATGTTCAGCTGATGTAGGTCGGCCATTTTTTCTGCAATCATAAGGCTCAATTTCGGATCGCTCAACTCTTCAGACTTCAAAGACCGAGCCTGGAATTTTCCATAGACATACAACAAACATGAATTACTATTTTATAACTTATGAGCGACATATAATGTAATCACTTCCATGTGAAGACTAAGGATCGAGTCTTTTTTAATTATTTTGTGTACAGTGTGTACTTGTTCTAAATATCTAGGACAAAAATACATTTCATCATATATAGTTAAAACAAAGCAAGGTTAGATTTTGTAATGATTATAAAATATATTATAATATTATCCCATCGATTTTAATAAATACATTTTTTTTTTAACATACACTCAAAGTGAATGCAACACTTACTGAGCAGCTATGCATCGTAGTCCAAAGCATAGCTCGTTTTCTGAATGAGCTCGACATAATTAGTTACAACAATTTATGTCGGATTTTGGAACACATATTGACACATGTAAAAGCCGATACATTATAGGACCGTTACCAATATTATCATTCGACCATTTATTACCTGCGAGGACGAATGCCGGTATAAAATGACAGTGTCGAGCCTATGTTTGCAAATAGCCTACATTGAATATTTAGCCAAATTGGCAATGCGTCATAAAAATAAAAAATAATGGTAATAATAATTACAACAATAAAAATAATAATAAAATAAAACGTACACCTCAAATTGAACGAGTCAAACAAATAGATTCGTCCCGTTATAATAACAACGGTGAATGCGTTAAATGGTAAATATTTTTTTTTGTTTAACAAAATTATTTACAGTATATAAATTGTTCTATGTAAGCCTTACAATTCTCAATCATTGTACATTTTCGACCCATTCGCTCACACTTTCCGAATCTGAAACGTTCAGCATCATAAATTTTGTCTAGCTAACAATATAATTTTTATTTAGTAAATGTCACGCATTTATTTATAACATTACTCGTAGTCGTAAAACAAAGCGAAGGTAAAAGCGCATAGTTATACTTGTAAATATATTTGATAGGCCAGGCATATTCTCAATGTTATACGGTCATAGCGATAAAAATAATTTTTTTTTCTAAATTAACTCTTAAACTAAAAGCTAACCGGCTTTGGCTATAATTTTGCTTTAAATATTTTTTTAAATAAAATAAATTTAGCAAATTTTAATAAAATGTACAAAAAAAAGTGTAATAACGGAATTACAACAAAGAAAAATTAATGTTACCAAAAAGTTGGTTGATATTTTTAAAATATTTCAAACCCATGTTTTGGCAGTATTGGAAACAATAAATGAGTTATCATAAACCATAGTATTTAAAATAGAAGTAAAACATTGGAAATATTTTCATAATATAATGTACGACAATTTGTTAATATTTTTGAAACATTTAATATTTTAAAAATATTACCAAACTTATTGCTAACATAAATATTTAATTACTGTATGGAAAATAATGTTTTTTTTTTAAACACATTTTATAAGCTAAGTGTTAAGAGATTATTGTTAAGAGGTAAGAATAGATTTAGTTAAAACAAAACCCAGACATTTTTCAATGCAGACATTTTATTGTACCCTAATGGCACAAAAATGCAGACTCGAGTAGATTAACAATTTTTTTGGTTAAGAAACAAAAAAGATTTTTAATTTGCAGAAGAAGAAATATTAATCTACGTTGTCGACTAGATGCAATAAACTACTAGTCAAGTTTCAACAAATGATTTAAAGTGAACAAGCTTACCGGTATGTATTCTTCTAGTCGGCCTCCGGGAAATATTCCGTGCAGCCTAGGTCCCAAACCCCGTTCTGACAACAATGTAAATATTACAGACTCTGTGATTATGTTTTCGATAGCGTTTTCCCCGTGTGTCTGACCGTAAAGTCTCATTAATACGTCACGAGGCTCAGTGTTACCCTTCAACAATGTCACTTGGTAAAGCCAGTTACTTAGACCGCCACTGAAAAATAAAGTTGTCGATACAACAAATTTATAAACAAAAATATAAGCTTGTATTTTATAAAATGAATGTTTATGCTGAAATATAATAATCAGCTTTTAACTATTGTTGGTCTAGAAGTTACTTGACAAAATCTATAAAGAATAATATTTGATTAAACTATTTTTTTTTTTTTGATTAAAAAAAAAATAAAATATAATTATTCTGTGATTATTTTCCGATAGTAAATAAGTATAAAATAATAATGCATGTTCAATAATACAATTAGGCATCATCATCAGTTCTTATAATAGGTCGTTGTACACTATTGACTAATGTTCAGCATATTATACCGCTAGGCTGCAAATATTGTGTCAGCATAAAATATCTAAATTGGTATGTGAGCTTTACTTAACTAATCGATACATTCAATTCTATCATCTATAATCTATATTATTGTAGCATACAATTCCAAATTTGTTTGCTCATAAGCTGAATGTTTTCATTTGTAAAGATGAATTTTTTTTTTTATATTATTGCTCAAATCAAAAGAGGTCTAACAATTTTGATGAGTATAAATAATATTTTTTTTTGTTAAAGCAAGAAATGTAAATTTTAGCCAAAACTTTTTCAAGATCTGTGTAAAATTATGTAATTAGTAATACTAAGAAAAACAAAAAAAAGTGGCAAATTTCTATTTATGTTAACTAGTTTAAGTTATTTAAAAAATGTTTATTTAAAGTTTACAATAAAGTTTAAGTAAATTTTTTTCAACAAATTGTTTCAATTATTATAAATTTCGTCATAATTTCCTACTAAACGATAATATAACATAATATAATATTACATTTAGTAATTTTTCAGGTTTTTTAGGTTTTATAGCTTGGAGTTTGCTGAACATGGACAAAAGTTCATACCTATCAAAATTGTTGCTAGAAAATGAAAATTGAAGAAAAAATAGACGTTTTTAGTACTTTTTTCTAGCTAATTTTCAAACAAGAGAGAACACAAAGAGATGGGATTGTTTTACGTTTTATATTAAAGAATATAATTTCGACTTAAAAATCTAGAGGACGGCCCGATCGACGGGTGATGCCCAAAGAATATGGTGGGGACGGCAGATGACATTATGAGATGATAACAGTATTGTCAAAAATATTCGTTTTTTAGGATTGCGAATTAAAATTACAACATCACTGTTAGCTTTGTTGTCAATTTCTGTACTATGTTACTAAAAATTATGATACACAGAACTCAAATTTTAGGTTTCCGGCCCAAGCGACATCCCCCAGGTACACTAAATTTAATGTTATCGGAAAAAGTACCAAAAAACGCCTATTCTTTGTTAAAGTTTTATTATCTGGCAACAATTTTGACAGGTATGAACTTTTACGTATGATGTAATGTACATGTCCAGCAGACTCCAAGCTATAAAAGCATCAAAGCTTCAGCTCAAACTGAGGAGTAGGAAAAAATTATGCTTCAATTTGTGCACAAGCGTCGGAATCCTATGTTAAATCCCATTTAAACTTCAACTCTTGTGAGGCACAAGAGTTAAAATTAATATTTATCCAACATTTTTTTTTAATCTTATTTTTATTGTATTTAGTAACTTTTTAGGGGCGTCGAGGTTAAAATTCGAAAATCGACTTTTTAAAGACCACCCTAAAATGTAGAAATATTATTTTCCGATACCTGCCAACGCGGAAGGGGGGGGGGGGTGCTCAAAGTTATTTAGAAAAAAAAAACAGCTGGGACTGTAGCCCCCCCCCCCTTCAGAGACCTAATTACGCTTATAAAACGCAATTCTCTTGTACGCGCAGGCAGGGGTAATTTATATCATAAAATATTATTATTATTATCGCTTTTTTATTATCAGTAGGTATAATTAAACAACTGATCGTTCAGGCCTTTACTGCGAATAATACAAATATTATCAGTTCTTGTACTATCAATAATAATAATTGCGTGAGGGCCATTTAAGGTTATACTATGGAACGGCTGACACGTCATAATTTATATCGCAACTATGAGACCGGATTTTTATATTTTTAATTTTTTTGTAAAAACGAAGGCTATGCAGTTTCATTCGGCTAAAGTTTCGTTTTACAACAAATTCATAAGTATCATTTTTTCTGCATGATTGGATGTTAGTGGATATTTCAACCATAACGACATTTTTGGAATATTTCATTTAGTCTAACAAAATAAATGCGATTTTTTAAAAACATAAAATTTAAATTAATATTGAAAAAATGTGCGTGATGAAAATTATCAGTGGCATTCGTGTGCTGAAATATTTTCTTCCATGATAAACATTTTACTGCACATATTTACTGATAAATGATGACTAAGTTGCAAAATATCTAGTAATCTAAAAATGTGTTTAACAAGCGATTTATATTATATTATAATTAATAATTTGTAAAATATTATTTATCAAGGAGAAAATAAATATTTTTTAAAATATAAGTAAAAAACAGGAAATTATGCCGTTGTATGTACAAAACAAGTTTTCTTTACACATAATTTATGCATCATATTAAATTATATCGCCATTAATAAAAATATCAGAACGATGCCTTCTCCTCGTCGAATTTGTTTTTAATTTCACGGTTATTTTTGGTTTACGCTGTTAAAACATTACTTTTGGAAACTCAAACGAAAACTTAATATCTGGAGAAAGCTCATGGGCGAGACCCAGTTTGTCTATTTTTTTCAAAAGCCAAAAGAATATTTTCTATCTTAAATGTTGGTAATGTTGTATTGGAAAAGCGAAAGGCTCTATTTTTCAGAAAACCGTTTATAATAGAGGATGTGATAATCTAAAGAGAAAATAAAAATTAATAAACAATCCTCGTTACTATACAAATAAAATATATGCATTATATTTTCAACTTGGAATTCTTTTTTTTTTTTATGAAAATTTGCCTATACGTACCCCTGACCTTCAAAAGTGGTATGTGTGGCGTCTACTTTAAGAACATACATAAAACCGCATTTTCCATAGTTTTCACTGCATAAGAACATCATATTTTTAGATTGACAAACACATAGAAATTCTGTCTCTAAATCATAACAAACCGAAGACTTGATGCACGTTTGCCGGTACACATGTACATCACGTGACATGCAGACCGAGACGAGTAATTTTCGGTAATGTTTTTTTTTTTTTTTTAAAGTCAACATTGACTGAATGATATACGTCACACGAACGAGCGAGAAAAACAATTAACAAACAACGTCCGTTTAGCCTGTGCACGTTAAAAGGAGGTATTTGTATTGACATACAATTTTAGTCGTCATTTCCTATATAGATTTCTCTTGCGGGCCAGCAACAACAACGACATACATTTGGTGTATATCAGTATTTAACCGGTGTATATATTATCTGTATAGTGTAATAATATGCTACTACATTTTAGAAAAACAACAACAGGCGCGTTTTTTATTACAGCGATAAGTTTTTAGTGATAAAATGGTAAAAAATTAAATAAACAACACACACACACACAGGTTAATCCGATTATATTACATTATTTGTTGGTAGACGAGGTAGAAGGGGGGGGGGGGTGTTGGTTTTTGCGTCTCAGAGAAAATGGAAGTCAATCGATAGTTTGTCGGGCGCCAACCCGGCCAAGGGAAAACCTCATGAAATTCCAAATGCTAACCGCTTACCGCCTTCGACACACATTAATATCACCGAGTTCAAATAAAACTTCTATTATAACTGTTATATGTTCACCGCGTGCAACCCGACCGCCGTTACTTGTTTTTATACATTTTAATTTTGTATTTTGCGTTCTAAAAAAACCAATCACGCGACGTTTTCCGAGGTGTGTCCAGTCTGGACATGAGCATTTTCCCCTTCGACTTAGGCGATAACAAAGAATGGACTACAAAACATGTATTTGCAAACGTCCGATTTTGTACTTTATAATTCGTAGTTGAAACTAGTTTTAGAAAAGAAGCCGTTATATTTTTCCGATTCCAATAGACTATAACGACGGTCAGGTAGTCGAAGACGTGACAAATACATTTCTAAGCATTAGGGTTGCCTATCAGAGTACAGAGCGGCGACAAAATCTGAATAAATAATACAAATTTATTAAATAATCGAAATACGTTTTTTTTTTCAAGAAATTGCTTTCATAAATGCAAAGCTGGGGCGGCATTTACAAGTTGAAAGTTACTTTTTACTTTTGAAATTTTCCATTTGTGTTCAGATTACCATACATTTATGAAGGTCACTTAAAATTACCAAAGAATTTCAAAAATATGAATGCAGACTACCAGACTACATGTGGTTTACCTTCCTTCTCCTCCTTTGCATATTAACTTGACGAGTTACTTTTTAGTATAATATAGGATTGACTAACGAGTTATTAATCAAAACAACAAGTACCTAACTAAAAAGTTCGTTCTTACCATAAATGTAAAACTTAGGTTTTTAGAAATAATTTGACTTCTTATAAAAATGTTATTGTTAGTAAAAACGTGTCTTGTCTTCAACATTATCTCAGTATAAGAAAACAGAAACTGACAATCGTTATAAATAAAAACACTTTTTGGTTATTTACAAATAATTAAGTGTATGTTGTTCCAAAATTTCGACGCTATTACTAATTAGATCATTTAGTGAACTGTTAATTGTTTCACAAATTATTGGAGATGACAAGAAGGGCACTAGTATAGTAGATAGTAAATATAGTAATAGTAAATAGTAATTGCATTTCTTTACTTCACTTAAAAATACAATTATATTTGCCCCCTGAGTAATAAAAATGTTTGAAAACTATTGTCATTGAGCTTTCCGACTAAAATGCATGGTAATATTATCTACCTACTAATTTATAATATTTATATTTTGTAAATTATTTACCATCAATTATTAACTATTTTATAATTATTTAAATGTATATATATATATATAGTATATATATATTATATACATTACAGCAGCGACCTATTAAAAAAAACCTGTATAATTGGTAATAGATTATCGGAAAATTCTAACAACGAATAATTGTGTGTACGGCGATTTTGAATTTCATAGAATTAAAAACCGTGACCTTATATCGTAATACGGTTATAATTTATCATAACACTTTTTTAAAAAATATAGTAGATTACACACCAGGTCTATAAAAAACGCACATAGTAGATTAGAACGCACATAGCCAGTTTGTAAGGCACCTAAGAATATGACAAGAATACTTTTAGAAGAATAGTTGTGAAAATATGTTATCTATAAAAAAAAAATACTTAATGACTGTCGTGATCTGAATTCTAAGCTGTTATAACTCGATAAACGAAATTTATTTAAATAACAATTTAAACTTGAACAACTATAAGAAAACGTTTTGTTGTTTCTATAGTAATACTGAATGTAATTAAAATAGGTTACAATTAAAAAATTAACAACTATAAAAAAACATAGCATTTTGTTATTTAACATTTCTAAGGACAACAATTAGTTTAAATCGTTTCCGAGACGTTTGTCAAAATAATTACCACAATTAAAAATAATAATAAAAGCAAAAACCATTAAATATAATGCCACGCCATTATTAATATTCCCAACGTAGTTTGATCGAATAAATTAATTTAGAAACGTTAGGACTAGAATTATTTTATTAATAATTAAAAAATAATTTATATGCATAAATACTATAAAAAAAGAATATTTATTTACCTGATTCTTTTGACGGATATGTCTTTGGCGGTAATCTTCTTCCAGTGACCCGGCAAATACCCTCGACACAGTCTGGTAGCCATTTCGAACATATCGTTACAGTGAGCCAAACCCTAATGAGAAAAAATAGGTTTTTGTAAATGAATTATAAGTGATAAAATCAAAACACATATTATAATCGGACAAAAAATGTGTTTTATAAAAAAAAAAAAAAAAACAATTAATTTACCACTGAATGGTAGTAAGAATAAAACGGTATCATCGTATTTAAGTGCATTCGGAATATAGTGTTTATAGTCTTAGTGGACATGTAAAAGTGTAAAACAAATATTTAGATAATGCCCGAAAATTGCGATTTTTATTTATTTTGAATAAAATCTCAACTCTCAGAACCAACGACGGTGTCTCAAACGTGACTGAATGCATAACGAGATTTTTGTACAACTGGTTTTCAGATTAGCTTCACGCGAATGCAACGAGAGGGGAGATAATAGGCGAAACTAGTTCAAAGGGTAAACAATATGCCGTCATTGAACAAAACGTTTATTCCATTAATACCATTTATAATCATGTGACTCACGTGCACCGGCTAAGTGTAGGTAGTAATTATGTCTATATACATAATACACATTTTTTTATTCCAATTTTTTTTTCGCTGAAAATCGTTTTCATTCATTCATTATTTTTCATTTTTTCTCGAGAACCGGTTCTCGCTACTTCAAAACCGATAACCGCCTAATAGACTATTTTTCATTTATAAATATTGTATTACGTTTACCTTTTCATGCTTCCCATTCTCGTTAAGTTTGAATTAATAAAAAATAATAATAACGGGTACTTATTATCAAAACGATAATCAACAAAATGTTTGTCAACCATTAATAGTATTTTTATATGAACCGGTAAGATACATATGTGATTCATTAACACACAAATTTATGACTGAACCGATGCATCGATTATTAATTTAGAATACTTTAATGTAATAAAATAAAGGTTAAAGCGAGTGCAATGAAGTACACCTGTTTATCTATTTAGTGCTATCACTTCTAAAATAGGCCACATGAAAGCCCATTCATACACGTTTTAGAAACAATTTTCCGATATTATGTATCTAAATTAAAAAATACTCTATGAAAAAGTTATTAAAATTGAGAACAGAAAATAAAAAAACTCACTGAAATTTTTCCAACATCCCACCCTTAATCAATCGTAGTCAGTTAAAATTGAAAACTACTAAGTACATGTTCACAGAATTTAATATACATTTGCACAAATTGTTTACACTTTATCTTGTTTAAAACATTTATTAAAACCGTTGTTTGTTTGAAATAGAAAAAAAAACTCGACTTTTGACAAACCACAAAGTGTATGCATTTTTCATATAATTATTAATCATAATAAATTATCATGTTAATTAAAAAAATAGTTGCTCGCACGTGATGAATTTACTCTATATTGGCAGTTCTAGCCAAAGTTCAGACGATTATACAAATAATAACATTACTTTGTGACTAACCACACGGTGTTGATATTACAAAACAATAATTGTTGCAGTAGTTGTCCAGGTGGTAGAATAATGGTAATTCTGGTACAAGCTATTATTCTATACTACAAGTTTTGTTTAGTTTTTTTTTTATCAAGCCAAAAGCTGGAAAACGAAAGAAAATAGATTGAGGTATGGTTTGAGGTTATTTCAAAAAAGAAGGGAAAATCAACAAGGCAAACAGTAAAAAGAAAGATAGTGTAGACGTAGAGGTGTACACTTAAGAAGAAATAGATGTTGTTTGATGTAGAAATGATGATACTTTTTTCCAGTTCAATTTTAGATTAAGAATTGACAATTCAAGTTTTCAAGAGTTGACAAGTCGATAGAATACATCTATTTATAATATACCTTCAAGGTAAGAAATCACTGCAGTTGGGGTTTTAACAGGTAGTTAACGTTTTAATATCAGGCGATTAAACAAGATCAATGTTTTACCTATAAGATGAAATAAAGCAATTAAAATATTTATTTTAAAACGTAGAATGAAATCAACTTTGCAAAAAAAAAGGCAGCGCATCGAACTCATTATGGAAATTCTTACTGAGAAGTCTACTTACCGAATTGACTTACTTAACTTACATTTTATTACTTTAATTGTTTAAATTTAAAAAAAATACTTTTTTTTCAGTAATATAAACCACTTTTCATAACTCGGCCTTCGATCATCAGAGTTCAAGAGGTATACCTGATTAAAAAGCAATACTATATAATATTATGTATTGGGCGTAAACAAAGGTAGACTTTAAATTAGGATAATATCAAATAAAAGCTTCGCAGCAAAAAGGTATAGCCAATAGAAAAGATGAAGTTAAATCAATTACAACATAATGCATTCACATTATTTAATTGACAAAAAAACCAAAGGAAATTTTGTTGTTTAAGACAAACAAATGTTTGGCGTTTACCAAACATGTGGGCTTTATTGGGTTTCTACATAACTGTATGGTTTATTCAGCATTGAACTATTCAGCAGTGGACGTGGAAGGTTGTTGGCTTCCTTTAGTTTGTTTAACTATTTGTCCAGAACAATGCGTGTCTTTGAAAGAACCGATAATAAAAATTTCACAATACTGTTGTGTATAGATATAATATAATATATTAAATATAATTTTTAGTACCGATAAAAATATGTTGTTTAAATCTAAATACACCGAATTTTTCTTGTCGATTTAAATATACTAACAATGAGAATTTTATTGTTTTGGTTACATTTGTTAAATTTTTAGTATCCAACTATTTTTTAATTTGTACTTGTAATGTGATAACTATGATATCTATGAGGATTGTAATGCAATACTAACCGCCAATGGTTCTCGGCTTAATCAAAGAAAATCGAATAATAAAACCGAAAACTTTGTAATTTCGTTTCAATTACTTAAAAAAAAAAAAGAAATGTTTTGTAAAAATACTTTAGGTGTTTAATAACAAAGGCCAAAGCATGGATGCATGAGCTTAGACAAACGAGTATTATCAACAAGGTTTCAACATTTCTCAGCGCAGTTTGGGCCTTGCTGACTATTGTGAACACATTGGCAGATTTAATTAAACGATAATCTATACACTACATAAATTACTTTTTAATCATTTATAATAGTGATGTACAACTATTACCAGTTAATTCGCAAGATTTCCTATCTAACGTCCACGACGTAACATATTAAACGTGTATAATTAAATGTAAAAAAAAAATTGCAAATAAATGCAGACAATTTGGCAACCACAATAGCTTTCGTCTAATGACATGTTTCGGATCATAAAAAAAAAACATCAACGTCGGCTAATTTATTAAATATAACTTGTAGCAACAGGCAACTTATTAAAAATCGTAATAATTATTAAAAGCAAAACTTTCTATATTGTTTACCTAAATTTCTATTTTAAATACACCTTACACAACAAAATTTGACCATTTTTGGGAACAAAAAGCAAATTACGTCCGATTATTTAGGGGGATATTTTTGCTAAATCGAAATCTGGCCTCAGAATAATTCTTGATAATTTGAATTTTTAGTTACCCGCAAAGTTGTGAGCAATCAAAATTACAACCAAAATACGTGTTGTACAGCGTTAGTATTTTAGAAGTGACAGCTTATATCCAAAGGAAACAAATATAAATTATTAATATGAATGGTATATTATTATAGAACTACCGAGTTTTGTATGTGGATACAATCCAAAACGCGATACGGTCATCCGACACGTCGTGTGGACTATGTGGAACGGTTTCATTGGTTTAGGTCGAACGTCAGACATTTTTATAAAACATTAAATTATAATTTAATCTAACGAATCAACTTATTTTTTCATAACAATTAACGTCAAATCGTGTAAAACGCACGGGGGCACAATACAAAGAAATGGCCGCGCGATATCGAGGTAACTATTTGCTTATCAGTAGACGACGCTGAAAGTTTATTATTAAACGATAACGCTATTGTTTTTTTTTTTATTTCTGGATATTTCACTAAAGAAATAATTGGCATTACTGCAGTCTACAGACAACGTGCAATATGCGTACGTGCATTTTAAGGAAGTCAACGTCCACGTGCTAGCATATGTCTCGGTCAAGTTGATCTCGCGTTGACCTAGGTTTTTTTTTTTTTGTTATTTACGATTACTTAATACACCTGCACCGAACCGGTGACCTTGTCTAACGCACGACAAAAACAAATAAATAAATACATAACATTGCAGTTACCCCACTGTGTAGTGTCTCCACCCCGTGTTTGCGTGTGTGCCTTGTCAACGGCAATAATAATAATATTACAATAAATCTAATCCTCCCACGAGCGGTAACCGAGACCTTAGAAATATCGATTTTAACGAGAGAATATATTATTTTACACGCGAAACGCAATTTGTCAAATACTACCTTACACGTGACACACGACAACTCGGTTACCCGCACACCATGTGCATTGTGGTACCGTCAGTGCCCATCTCGTGAAAAACAATATTGCAACGTTATATTATTCTCAAGTTGGCGGGGTTTTCCGTTTTAACTGGGGCACGTCGCCGAGTTGACGACCACTCGCTGGCCATGAGTCACCGCCGTTTATGCTTTATTATAATATCGTGTGTGTGTGTGTGTGTGTGTGTCTATACATAGAGGTATATTATTTTAAATAGAACGAAAATGTCGATTTGTCAGCCGTTTTCAGACGAGTTTTATCCAGACCAGCTACTGGCTTTCACGTCACCGTCAGCATAATTATTGCGCCGTTGTTGCACACCACGGATTCCGCGGGATCTTACATCCCAGACGTCGTTTAATCAATCGACACGAAATAACGTTTAAAACAAATGGGCTTATAAACGCCGACAGCGACCGTTGGCGGCTCGCATAAAAATTTACTACTCGCTACAGACTACTGGTATACATAATAGTATGACATGGTCACCGGTCGCCTCCCCTGATCGCGCGAGCCGGCGGTTCCCAAAATATCTAGTTTTTACCTGTTTGTCGACGGTGCCGTTTACACCCATTTTGCCGGCGAAGACCTTGTAAAGGCGCGCGGCTACGGCGAAGACGAAATTTTTCGTTTTGGCTATACTCATCCGCCGGACCGATGTGACTCTGGACATAAAGCGAGTACCGCCTCCGATCACGTAAAAAAAAAAACAAATTGAAAAATACAGGTCGAACGATGATTTAGGTCGCGGTGTAAATAAGAACAACAACAGATATTAACAAAACCGACGATTAACAAAATCGGAACTGGGATTAAACGGAAAACAAACAATATTGACGCGGTCGGTTTTTCAAAAAATAAAAATCATATGTATATATTTTTTTATTTAGAAAAAACACGAAATGTAACACAATAGTTGTAATACAACACTTAAACAAAACGAAAATTGAATATTGTTATTATTATATTTGAATAGAAATGTCTATTAGGGCGACTGGCGCGATGATAACGACGGCGGACGACCACACTGATAAGCGACTGGAACGAAATTGAAGTGAAATTAATATGAGAAATCCGTCGGTCGGCGTTGCCGCCGCGGCGGGTGTACCGGTCGTTGTCGTCGGCGAACAGCAGCTGGTGATGACGTCACGCGGCGGGTCATAAGGCGATAAGCGGCGGCCCCTGGCGTGCGTCGCGCGAAACTAACCCCCACGTAGATGCGGCGTGGCAGACTGGCCTCCTCGTGTTCCCCGACACACTGTGGCAAAACGCCGTATCCGGCCCACTGCTTACCGCCAAAACAATCTACGCGCACTGATATTATGTCTTGTGATATTCGTGCAGTGGCCTGTGGCGCGAATCTGAAAAAACCCAAGGGGGGAACTCAAGCCCCGTGGTATATAGAATACATATTATATTATACCGATACATATATTTTATTAGATATATCCGATAAAATCTTTTCATTATTACAATTTGTTATTTTAATTTAAGTTTTTTGTGTTTTCCCTAAATATTTCATTTCTGTTAACTTTGCATTGCGTGTGGCCCCTTTGTCAAGTAGTCTTCCAATTGTTTTAAACGTTTATTTGCCTAACAAATATTGTATTAGATTAATTTCTAGCTAAAAGACAATTTAAAGAGAAAAAGTTCTGAAAATTCCATATCCCCCCACTTGCGGAATGAAATGACTTCCAATTATAATTTTTACTATTCTGAATCCAAATCTGCTTAAATTTTTACTAGCACATCCAGTTATTTTCCAACGTAGTAATAGAACTGCAGAAGATGCCTATTTTTTTATTTTGCGAAAATACCACCACACTAAAAATATGATTTCTTAACTTATGATAATCTCAAAAGTAAAAAACACGGACAAAAAAGACATGGAAATAGAACATTTAAGAATTTACACAAAATCAACACGATCATATGTTGTAAAAAACATATAAGACAGATGGATTTTTGTATTTATTTTGAAGTTTGCACATAGACATATTATTATATTAATATTATTTTTTTTCATTACTTTTAACAAAAAATTTAGGTCGTTCCGAAAAACAGTTTTAGCCTCTATGCAGATTTAATAAGTAACTAGTTTTGTTGCAAAAGTCTAATTTAATTTGTGGGTAACTATAATTTCATGTCCATATAGCATAACCTACCTCCAAATTACATTTGAAAACCTGTATTCGACCAGGTTGTTTCACTATTAGTCAATAATATCAAGTATTGACTATTTTAAACACCTGACGTGACTAGATCTGTAAATTTGGTACCAAAACCTTGTCTTTATGTATAGACTGAATATGAATTGCTGAACATGACTATGAATGTGAAAACATGACTAATACGGAAATTATAGAAACTATACAATTTAACAAAATATAACGATATCTAAGTTCTTAACTCCTAATAATTTCTCAGTAAACCAATATTGTCGTCGCAATGATTATAGCAAGACGCATATTCACATAAATATGTCATATTATTATGTGTAACTCCGACTACAATTTTTATTTTCAAATTTTCGCCCAGTATTAATTCCTGAAATCACATTGGTTTATTTTTTATAAACTAAATTACATTGTACCATTTACAGCAACTTCACTTTTATTTGGCTTATGAAAATACTGTTACATGGATTTTTTTTATTCTTATGCAATCCTTTATTAAACTGAAAGGAGTTCGAATTTGTCGAAACTTGATTTAATAGAATAAAAATAAACCATCAAATACACGTTTCAACGTAACTTTGAGTATAATAAAATTTGTAAATATGTATATTTTAAACTTGTTGCAAAACAAGTATGTGAAAGGTACATAATATTTTAGAATTTAGATAACTAAGAAAACTGCAATACTGCTTCTTGAAATTCTATTTTGTGTCTACCTCTCTACGAAACAGACTTATGTGAAACTTCAAATCAATTGAACGTGCCAACCGACTACTCTAAAGAAAGAACAGTGGCCAGTATAATATGAAAATGTACTAGAAATTGTTTAACATTGAAACAATAATTATTTGACCAGAATCCCAAATAAACAGCAAATGTAAACCATGAAATTAATCGAAAAAAGAACTGTTGTTTTTTGTTTAAATAATTAGCGTTTTCATTCAAAATTTAGATTTAAAACTTGTAATAGCATGCAATATGCTAAAACATTTTAATTTTAATAAATAAAAAAATAAAACAATTTAGATTTAACAAATTAACTTTATTTAATGCGCAATAGCTATAAAATCGCATTAAACAAACACACGCGTTACTATTTTACGAACAAGGAACGCTTAAGATATTGTAAAAACTACTAATAATGACTGATAAAAAGGACTTTACGCACACGCACACAAAAAAGTTAAGCTTCTCTTAATTTATTGCAGTTTGCACTCAAATGTTGTAACCGAACGTCATAAACCGATAAATAACATTATATAAATAATATTTAATAATATTATAACGCTTTTACAACTGATAGGAGCGATTTTAACGAACGAGACTATATATTGGTCTTGGACGCAAGACCGAGTGCTAAAAATATTCAAATACAAAACCATGTAATACGCACTTGTTTTTAATTTTTTTTTTGCTATGGTCGAAACTAAAAATAAAGAGCTCCAGCGTGTGACAAATGAACTCTAATACTTTATACTAGGAAGGAAGTATCTAATCGAACAACCTTGGTCCGTGGACACTATATATATAACGGTTATACATATATCACAGATGGGTTATTTTTACAAATTAAAAACCGTTTCGAGACCGTTAATTACAAATTACCAAATGCCTTAATGAAAAAAAAAAATACCTAAATAAATTGTATACTCGGATAATATATCAATATGTCAGAGTGATCAAATATCAAAAGAAATAGATGTACATAATAATGAGTATAATGGTGTTTACATGGCCTGTAATAGACCCATGAGGTAAATATAGACAAAATCCCTGTATACTTTAATGTATAATTTGTTTTGTCACATTATTTACTGTCATTTTTCGCACTGTAATAATGTACGCGTCTCGTTAATTAATTACCAATAAATTAACACATTTTATCAAGACTAAAATATAATATACCTATATTATAGGCCGACTAATGGTCGCAATGAAGTTTTTTAGACGTAGAGCTAAAGAGACCACTGTTTAACAATGATTTATCGCGTTTTTTTCATAAGTATTTAATTTACTTACTTCCGTCATTTCCAACCAATTTTCCATTTCTATAATAATGTGTTGCAGAAATAATTATTGTTAAAGTCGTGGATTGGGTGAGCACACTATACGAACGTTGGCGATACACTAAAACAACATTGAGTATTTTATAACCGTCATATAAATTTATTTGCATATTTATTGCTCATTAAAACTAACTAAATAGATTTACTTCAAATCGATGCAGAAAATCGATTTGTTTGTAATCGCCGGAGAGACAATTATTAGATAAAGACGGTATTATTCAGTGTAATGATACACCTGAGAGGGTACAGACCTACTTAGAAATATCAATACCGATATAACATATTACACAACTATTAATCCTACGGCCAAAAGCAATATTACTAATGGAAATAACTAGAATGTTATGCCACCGGTGTTTTAAAAGTAGAACCCTTAGTTCGAAGTAAGACAAATTTTAAATCTGTAAAGTTTATTAGCTAAAGGAAAATAAGGTTGAATTACTCAAAAATTAACTATTATATTCAATCGGGATTTGCGACTTGGACACGACAGCTAAACAAAGAATATTAACTAAATATAACTAATTTAATTCATTTCTTGTATTATAATATTATACTTACCAAGTAACAAGTAAGTTTTTTTAAATTTAATTTTTGTTAATTGATATTTGTAATTTGCAGAAACTATTATCGGTTTTGTGTTGGATGTCGAAGTTTTTTTTTCAATTTTTTTGGTAAGATTAACACATTTTACTTTATTTATAAGAATATTACAATTCATTATTTTCATTAACTTTTTTTGTTATTTTCCTAAAATATTTAGTACTTACTTGTTACCGATGCAGTGCGTTTGTCACAAAAGTCATGTAGTATACCAATTATGAATACGTTTATTTGCCTAAAAATGATTGTATTAGCTTAATTTCTTGCTAAAAGACAATTTAAAGGAAAAAAATTCTGAAAATTGCACATATTCCGCTACTGAAATCAAAACTTAATTAAAATTTGTATTAATTTAGTTTATTTTCGCTGAACCCGAATGTGGACTCCAATTTTATCTAGCATCAAGTTATTTTTGTAAATCGCATCCAAAGTTACAACTAACAGGATATTTTTCATTTTTTTGTGTAAAAAAAAAAATTACCACAAGTTTTACATAAATTTGGAGGGAAAAATGGATCAAGAAGTTTCTTTTTTATAATTTTCTCTATATCAAAACTTTTTGGAAAGTTATTGAAACAAAACACGCTGACAAATTTTTCTAAAAGAAACATATAACGGCATAAAAAAATGATGCAAATTAATTTGAAAAAATCATGATGATACACGACAGTGTTGACATGCAAATTTATTATTACAAGCGCAACGTGTGACGCATATCATATGATATAATAGTGTTTAGGGAACGTGGGAGAAATTATATTAACCAGACTCATCATCATATCAGTCTCATTATTTATTATTATTATTTTTTTTTTTTTGTTGTTGCTGCTGTTGTTGTATGCTGCTGCTTACTTACATACTACTACTACTACTACTACTACTAACTGAGACACTTCTGTGTGTGTGTGTTGTGTGCTAGCATAGAAGAAGAAGAAGAAGATGAAGCAATTTGCTAGGCTAGTGCCGCTCACGTTCCCTATGACGTCATTATCAGATAGAAATCCTATTTATGATTGGATTTGTTCCCCAATGATCACATGGTAGAAGTCGACACGAATGGTCTACGCATTACCCCATCTAGCGGCTTAGCTGTTAATCATCGAGGTTAGCCGGGCAGAATATAAAGTTATTTCAAACAAGTTAGGTATTCAAAAGTTTAAAAACAATTATTTTATGAAATGTTTAATTAAAAGTTCAAATAATACATAAAACGTTTATAGAAA